TATTATTTTTAATTACAAATTTTAGAGGGAAAAAATGGCTCACATGCTTTTGATAGCAATATAAAGAGAAAATTTTATTTCTAAACACATTTTTCTATAAATACATTGACAATTAGCAGAAATTCACAATACAATAAATTGAAGTGTGTTCTCCTTTGAAGAAGTGTAATACTATAAGCCAAAGAGAATTCCAGGAAAATAGGTGTGCTCATCTAAGAAAACACTTAATCTGAAATGTTTAGAGATAAACTATGTATCAAGTATACACTAGGAAATACCAAATATCACAAATCACAAGTAAAACAAAAAAGAATATTCTGTGAAAGTAGTAAAATTAAACTCACCCTGTACAACCCATAATTTCTGGTCCATCGAAAGAAAAGGGATCAGAATCATCTGGTTCTGACCTCATCCTATATGTCTTTGTCAACACTTCATTTGTGAAATATTCATTGGGTTCAAAGTGAAATTCTAAGACAAAACTCTTAAAAAAAATAAAATAAAAAAAGTAAACACTAATGAAGTTCCTACATCACATATATTAAAATTCAATCTGTTGATTTTTATAAACACATAAACTTCTAGGTGATAATGCCTTTCCTATTCTGTGAAAGGGTCAGATAAACCCCAAATTATGTTTAAAAAGGCAAAACAAGACACAAAATAAAACTGAATAAAACTTAGCTCAGCTTACAATTTCTATTTAGTAACATGTTTATAAAATTGGTTAGAACAACTGAATAAACTGACCAAGTACTCTTTCCTCCTTCCATCCTCACAAAGAGGACTTTAAATCATCTTCTAACCCGAATTTGACAGAGGAACTTTACTACACACAATAGAAGAGTGTATAGTCTATAGTAGCTTTGCCCATACTTCACATAACACTGATGGTTTTTGGGAGAAGCTAGTAGCTGATCTTTCATCATGGGGAAGCGGGGGCCCTCTAACATCTTGTTTTATGTAATCCCCAGACACATGCCTTTTAAGACAGAGTAAGTATTTAGGGTGCTATTATTTTTTATCTATTTTTATCAAGGCCTTACTATATTTCAAAAACAGTTTTATGTTCAGAGGGAGGAAAAGGAATAAATTCTACATCACAATTACCAACATCCAAACATTTATTGCCTACCAACAATTAAAGAGTACCAAGTAGGAGTTTTAACTTCTTTCTCACCCATCTCTAGGCTTAGAATATCACCTCTTTTTAGAAAGTTCCATATATCTATATCTATAAACATCTAATGTTACAGAACTAAAAATATTTCAAAGTTCTTTTACCATGGGCTGGCCAGCATCTGAGAACTTCACTTTAATATCTTTCAAGTGCTTCAAAATAGGTTCATCATGTTCCTGCAAATTAAGAAAATATTAAAATGAGTATCTAACATGGCATTTTAGGATCAGTGTGCTATTACTGGACAATAAACATTTAGCTGAGACATTTATAGTGAGGCTTTATGTAACACTTATGAACCATAAGGCCTACTCTCCAGATAATGGCTTATACTAAAGCTAGTTTACTTATAAGCTCTACTTATTTCTACTGGCAATGGTAGAAAAAAAGTGACTTAACAGAGAATTACATCATCATCAGACTGAATGGGCTGAAGAATATAAAACCAAGTCTAACTCAGGCATGTTTGCTTTAAAAACATTTCCTTTTCCAGCTGCTTCTTGTTCCTTTCATTATGCTAGGTCCTTTCCTACTTTGCCAAAGTAGAAACGCAATAAGCAGTCATTGTTTTGAGATTTTTTTTTCTTGCCTTTAACTTTCAACAATCACACTATAAGGCAACAAGTACTATAATGCGCACAGTAGTGGCTCAAGAAATGCTTCTGATTAGGACACAAAAAGTTCCCCAGAAAAAGTGACATCTGTGTTGGATTCCCAGAAAAAGTGACAACTTTAAGAGTTAAAGATCTTTATGTTATTCTTTTAAAATGCAAACGTCCCTTGGAATATTTGTTTCAGACTGAAAAGGTCTTTTTGGGTAAGATAAATGAAATTTTAAGTTTCCTCCCTCCAATCTCTAATACCAAGCACTTAAACACAGAAGACATAAGACTATGACAAAATATTGCTCAATGTAACTGTCAAAGGGCCACTTCATTATCTAATTTTTGAAAATGATTTAGAATTTATTACATTCATCAAAGATCCAATTTTCCTTCTACAGGTAACAGGTTTCAAAAGACAGCAATCATTCTACAGAGGTCAATGATGGAGACTAGTCATCCCAGCCATTTAAATTTCAAAGGTTTTTACCCTTTAAAGTAAACTGATGTTTTTATGAGTAAAATTACCTGAACCATATCACTGAGCAAGTCAACGTTCTTAAAAACAGTCAACCAGAATTCAGGAATTCCCTTGGGGTCTTCTTTTTCTTCATCCTTTTTCTCATCTTCAATCTTGGCTTTTTCTTTCAGCTCCTCCTTGATAAATGACAGCATTATGTTACTGAATTCCTAAATCAGACTACTTGATAAGATCTTACCCATCCCCTAACTTATATCCAGCAGTGAAGTACAGAAACCAATAAATCCTCAATCACCAATTGCAACTTTCAATCAACGAAGTTCTAGTCCAACTGTGTAAACACTGCTGTTACACAAATCTTTCATTATAATCAAGTTCAGCATTAGACTTGTCAGTGCTGGCATTTAAGCTGTAAAACAGTCTATCTTAGGAAGTTAAAAAGTCATGGA